ATCTGATAAATCTAAATCGGTCCGTCGAGGCCCTCAGGTTCAGGATGTTAACCATCAAAAACGTGGTGTCACAAATTCAGTCCGAGGACTGGTTTGTGACGATAGACCTGAAAGACGCATACTTCCATATTTCCATCCTTCCCCAACACAGGAAATACCTGAGGTTCGCTTGCGGGGGCGAAGCGTTCCAGTATCGGGTTCTTCCATTCGGCCTAGCTCTGTCACCTCGAACCTTTACCAAAATAGTCGAAGCGGCACTAGCTCCACTTCGTATGCAGGGGATACGTATCCTAAACTGCATAGACGATTGGCTAATTCTAGCTCAGACTCAAGATATGGCAGTTCGGCATCGAGATGTCGTTCTCACCCATATCAGAAGGTTGGGGTTTCGGTTAAACACCGCAAGAAGTGTGCTTGTTCCAGCCAGGACGACCATTTCTTTAGGTGTGCTATGGGACTCCATGACGATGCGAGCACGTCTGTCCCCGCCATGAATCGAATCGATTCAGTCAACCGTACACAGAGTCAAACTAGGCCAGTTCATCACTGTGAAACACTTTCAGAGGTTGTTGGGTCTCAGGGCAGCAGCAGCCAGCTTGATTCCGTTCGGTCTGCTGTACATGAGACCCCTGCAGTGGTGGCTCAAATCCAGGGGGTTTTCCCTCAAGGGGAATCCTTTCCGCATGATCAAGGTCTCGCGGCACTGCCTTCGAGCCTTAAGTATGTGGAAAATACCCTGGTTCCTGTCCCAGAGCCCAGTGTTGGGGGCTGTCTGTCATCGCGTCATGCCTATGACAAATGCTTCTCTGACGGGCTAGGGAGCAACGGGCTTGATCCGCATGATCAAGGTCTCGCGGCGCTGCCTTCGAGCCTTAAGTATGTGGAAAATGCCCTAGTATCTGTCCCAGGGCCTAGTGTTGGGGGCTGTCTGTCATCGCGTCATGCTTATGACAGATGCTTCTCTAACGGGCTGGGGAGCAACCCTGAGGGGGCTTCCCGCAGCGGGACGATGGGGAGAACATCATCGTTACTGGCACATAAACTGCCTGGAGATGATGGCCGTGTTTCTGGCCTTAAAACACTTTCTCCCAGATCTAAGGGGCCATCATGTTTTAGTCTGCACGAACAACACATTGGTGGTCGCTTACATCAACCAGCAGGGGGGTCTGAAGTCTCGAATGCTATGCAAACTAGCACATCGGATCCTCCTGTGGGCCCAGAACAAAATCCTGTCCATCAGGGCAATGTATGTCCCGGGCCATCTGAACATGGGAGCAGATCTCCTGTCGAGGCAGGGGGTGAGATCCAGGGAATGGAAACTTCTTCACCCCGAGGTGGTGGAGTCCATTTGGGAAAGATTAAGGAAAGCGCAGGTAGACCTGTTTGCTTCCCAAGAGACCACGCATTGCGTACTATGAGTTTCTCTCTCGCATCCAGCCCCTCCGTGACTGGTTGCCATGGTTCAGACATAGCCGAGGCTACGTCTGTATGCTTTTCCCCTGATCGCTCTGCTCCCAGGAGTCCTGGAGAGGGTCCGTCAAGACTGAGTACGGTTACTGCTGGTAGCCCCGGTTTGGCCTACCAGGATTTGGTTTTCGGACCTCATAGCCCTGCTGGCGGGTCTCTCGTGGGAGATCCCCATCAGCAGGGACCTTCTGTCCCAGGGGGGAGGAATGATACTTCATCCCCTACCCGACCTGTGGAAACTGTGGGTGTGGCCTCTGAGGGGGCCCACCTCATAGAGTATGGACTGTCAACCGAGGTTGCTCAGACCATTCTAAGCTCCAGGGCTCCCTCCACAAGGAAGCTTTATGCCCTAAAATGGGCTCTCTTTTCAGCTTGGTGCAGAGAACACCAGCTGAACCCAGTCAGCTGCCAGGTAGCCTCAGTGCTGGAATTTCTCCAAGATCGCCTGTCTGCTGGGTTAGCTGCATCCACTCTGAGAGTGTACGTGTCAGCTATAGCGGCCTACCGTTCTCCCCTAGATGATGAGTCACTAGGACAGGATCCGCTAATTCGTCGCTTCCTTCGTGGAGCCATAAGGCTAAGGCCTGTCAGCACACACAGGGTACCGACATGGGATTTAACATTGGTGCTCGAGGGCATCTCTGTTCCCCCATTTGAGCCACTGCAGGAGGCGTCAGATAAGTTTCTGACACTAAAAACAGCTTTCTTATTAGCTATTTCTTCCTTAAAAAGGGTTGGTGACCTCCAGGCTTTGTCGGTTGCACCTTCATTTCTGGAGTTTGCTCCAGGCATGTCCAAAGCCTTTCTTTATCCCAGACCGGGGTACGTGCCTAAGGTGCCCACTCATGTGGCGAGACCTGCTGTGCTACAGGCCTTTAACCCGCCCCCATTTCAGTCGTCGGACCAAGAGAAGTTAAACTTACTCTGCCCAGTTAGAGCTCTGAATACATATGTTAACCGGGTTATCAACTGGAGAAAGAGTGAACAGTTACTGGTCTGCTTCGGACCCTCAAAAAGGGGGAGTCCGGCAAATAAGCAGACAATAAGTAATTGGATAGTTGAGACTATCTCATTTACCTATCAGGCTGCTGGACGCCCTGCACCTAAATTTGTTAAGGCCCACTCCACAAGGGCTGTCGGGGCCTCCAAAGCTTCTATTTCGGGCTCAGCCCTTTCTGACATTTGTTTGGCGGCAGGATGGTCGACTCCACATACATTTGTGCGTCACTATCAACTCGATGTAGACCCCTCACCAGGGTCCTCTATTCTCACTGCGTAGTGTGCGTTCACAGTCAGCAGTGAGTCTGGCCTAGTGGGTATTGCGTTCCCCTAGCGTTCTGGTTAGACGCAGAGTTGAAGTTCCCTAGAAGGGGAACGTCTCGGGTTACGTATGTAACCATAGTTCCCCGAGAGGGAACGAGACACTGCGTATTCCGCCATACTCTCTTCTGCCTGTTACTTCTTTCAAGCAAATTCGAAGTTGATACTGAATGCTCAGTACAGGCTTTTATACTCTCTGGTCTGACGACACCTGCTTAATTACATTAGATTGATTTCACATGTGCTTCAAGACGCGTATAAAAGAGGTGTTCCCCTAGCGTTCTGGTTAGACGCAGTGTCTCGTTCCCTCTCGGGGAACTATGGTTACATACGTAACCCGAGACGTTTTGTGTGTCTTTTTTTCAGCAAATCAGTGACATAATTTATGAATTTAGCAATTAAAGAGATAAAATCCTGTAATTTTCTAAACAATTTCATAGTTTTGATCAGGACTGAGGTTGATTAACAGATTTATGCAAAAGAAATTTGATAAAATAAATTATCTGATTTATTTTATGTGTCATGATTTATGTTTTTACAGCAGTTTAATTCAGTGGATGTTTTCACCCTGAACACAACAAAATGATATTAAATTTGAACAGTGCACAAGGGTTAAAATGTCTTAAATTTCAAAAACAAACTTTTAGGTCTTAAAGTTTTAAATTCACTAAAATATTGTCTTGTAGGTCTTAAATCCTTTTAAACAAGTCTTAATTTTCATCTGTCCATGTCTCCAATTACCAACAATCCATCTCAAAAACACTTTCAGCCAAATTCAAATTTACCAAAATGTTTTTTATTTTTATTTTTTGGGAAAAACAGGTATGCTAAAAATGTGCTTGTATACAACTAGGGTTTTCTTGTTTTGACACATTATTTAAAATAAGTGGAAAAAAATAACTCATTTGTAATTTTTGGAATGAGGCAAGGAAACCTTTTCCACAGGATCAACCGAGCCATAAGAAAAATCCATAGTGTTTAGCCCTGTATTAATCTGGAATTTCATTCAAAACAGCCTTAAAAAGGTCTTAAAAAGTCCTAAATCTGACTTTGTGTAACCTGCAGAAACCTTGATCAGACTCATTATGTAACAGAATAGTTAGTTTAACAGTTGTTTTAAATATTGCATGCCTTCAGGAGACATATAGAAAATAGCCATTTTTTAAGCCGGATTTATTTTCCAATTCTATGCTGCAAATACGGAAGAAGTCCACGAGTAAATGATGACCATTTTCTTTTTTGTGTGAACTATGCCTTTAATGTTATTGCTACAATAATTCTATATTAATGCAGATTACAAACATAATATAATGGGCTGCATTTCCTGCAAGACATGTGTGTGTATTTATAAATAATGCTATTTAAACATGCTAATCAAAACCAGGAATCATAAAAAGCTTTCGAGGCATACACTTGTAATGTGAAAATGCAGCCCATTGTTTCAAATGCATCATGGAAGTCCAATCTAAATGGTGTGTGTATCAGGGTGTAGAGTGAAACTACAGCAGCATGTGGGGATTGCTTATGATGGGAATATGCCTATAGAAATTAAAGCTGGAACAAAAGACACTTAAAGTCTAATTAGGACAGACACACGTGGACAGCAAAAGCAAGAATGGGATGGAAACTTAAATGAGAAAAACACAAACTGTTTAAAAACGTTCATCAGCACCTACGTCAAATTTGGGGATGCTAAGGAATTTGGAATAAAAGCTGGGAATGGTCTGCTTCCCCATGGATGAACTAGGGTTCTTCATTGTTTCTATACATCTACAATTTAAAAATGTTGTGCAGTCAGATTGTTAAAGTATTGTCTGAGATAATATCTATGCCTCTCATCTATGGGGAAATGACCATCAATGACTGACTCTATCACTTTTATGAAACCCATTTAAACAATCAGAGGATTCTCTCCTGTTCAATATGGGTTTAGGTGTCCATTTCTTGGTCACCTGCCCACCTTTTGTTTGGGCTAGACCATCAGAATCATCTGCTATGTTCGTCTGCTCCGGCTGCAGGTCAAGCAAACAACACTTTTTTTTTTGCTTGCCAAAATTGTCATGAGTTCAAAATATAAAGTGGCATTTTTAATTAAACAAAACCAGAGAGAAATTATTCAAACAAAAGGAAAGAAAGAAAGAACTCAAAGTGTTTTTAAACATCGTGTCAGTGTTGTTCAGAAAGTGTTTGTATAAGTGAAAATGTGGTCTTACCTTGCTTGGAATCGAGACTCGTACTCCTCCAGCCCTTGCTGTGAAGGAAGAGAAGAAGATCTTTAAATCCAGCAGATGGCAGTAGAAGAACATGCATTACTTCTGAACTGCAGTATTGATGATGCTGGAGCTAAAGCATCTCTATTATAACGGGGAATAAAAAGGAGGTCATTGAGTGCATTCTGAAGAGGAGCAATTGGAAGTGTCAACTATGCAGTGACTTCAGGGGACCAGAGGAACAGCAGTTGGGCATATCTGTTTTTTACAGCCATGACAATAAATATTGAATGCATTAAACAGGAAACCCTGGGGTAAATATGAGCGGGTTATGTTGGTTGCTGGCTTTGTTATGTAACAAAGCCCTACTACTGAATCCATGACAAAGATTGTTTCTTACAACTATGAGAGTGTGCTATATTTTACATACACGAGCAATCACGTTCAGTAATGAAGTGTGCACTTGCGGTTTTAAAAATTTTGGTGCATTAATCGAATAATAATATTATTTAGAAGTTCATGATTCACACTCATTAAATATTAACGTTATTTTACATTCTTATAAGATACAAAACACAGATGTTTTAGCACAATGCCTTACTCAGTGTGTGACACAATCCACTCCCTCCACCCTTTTATCCCACAGTCAATCACGTTACGTTATTAGTTAGATGACCACTCACTCAATAGTTAAAAACAATCTCATTTTCATTTCAATATACTGTAATTAACCACACAAGAAATGTTTCCTTCACCTTTAAGAGCATTATCTCTATTGTACAGGAAAATAATCATAATAAAAACAGAAAATACTCGTAATTTAAATGAAGAATTGGACCTATCAGTTTTTCTTTAATGTTTTATTGTTTATCTATAATATTGTGAATCATGGATTTTGAGTAATGATACAAATAATAAGATGAAAATGCATTTTTATTGTTTTAGACTTTCGGAATTTCATTACATTGACGTAGAGATGAATAAGTGAATGATGATCATTGATGTTATTTTCCTGTACAATGGAGATAACGCTTTTAAAGGGTGAAGGAAATATTTCTTGTGTGGTTAATTACAGTATATTGAAACGAAAATGAGATTGTTTTTAACTATTGAGTGGTCGACGTAATATGATTGACTGTGTAATAAAAGGGTGGAGTGAGAGGATTGTGAGGAAGGGATTGTGCCGTGTGTTTTGAATCTCCTAAGAAGGTAAAATGAACACATACACAAGAAATGCTATACAAATTGGATTATTTTATTAAAGATTAGTACAAAAAAATCACACAAGGATTTATCAAAATAAGTGATGAATTTCAAATGTCAAACCCTACATATTCTTTGTTTTAAAGCAATGCTGACTTCTGTTTCGATTAAAAATCCAGAAAGCCGAAGCATAGCTTTACTTTCTAGGGTTATGCATCCATCTGTGTTGGGTAAGTTACTTTAAAAAATACATTACAAATTACTGATTACTACTGGAAAATTGTAATCTGATTACATTTCTAATTACTTCATGTAAAAAGCAATGAGGTTACTAATTACTTTGAAGTTACTTTTTAAACATCTAAAATATATTTACTGTATTAAAATCCTAAATAAACTGCAGCTCTTTCAGTAATTTAATATATTTACTGAAAAACTCTACGAAGGGTTGATCACAGCAGCTTGACATATTTAAAATACTTAAGAGTTCAGCCAAAACTTAATATTCTCTCATCATTTACTTGTTCCAAACCCATTTGTCTTTTTTTTTTTACACAAAAGAAGAAAACTGGATACCTGAAACTAATAACATCCACAGTATGAAAAGCACTGCAGTGTTTGGGTGTTCTGTGTTTGTCTGAGGTAATTAGTCTACCTAAATGTGGATATTCCGAAGTATGAAGCTGACAGGTCAGTTCTTGTCACGTGACTAGCTGTTTTCAACTGGGTGTGGCTGGGAAATGTGAGTGCACAATATGGGCTCCAATACACGCACACGTGCAAAAGACGCAATATGTGTACAGCCCTATAAGCAGCTACGCTTCTCTTTACAATCTGAAGATGACCATCACTCCTGGTCCTGCACAAAAATTCAATTTGGAGTTGGACCGCCTTGTTTTTGGGCGCCGGGGTCCTCCTTGGTGACGAGTATTGTCGTAGAATGCTTTTTGTTCTAGTGCTGAACAAATTGCTGGTCGAGTTAAAAGCAGTTGAAAGTTCTTTAGAGACTAAACATAGACTGCATTTCACAGCAATATTTTTGTTTTCATGCTCAATGAAATCAATGTATTTCCACCTGAAGAAGCAACCATTTCAAAAATGAGAATACAGTAACACGTTACTGTGGAACGTGTTACAACCAACTCTGGCATCTATGTATGAAAATGCATTTTACAATGCACAATTAATATCTCTAATTTGACTTTTTAATATTTATTTATTTATTTTATTTATTTTTATTATTATTTCATAGCTTTATATTTTTTAAGTAGCACACCAAGACATATTCCAGTGTATTTGCCAATAAAGGTGATTCTGATTTCATTTTGATATGAAGACCTCCTAAGTCAGACAGACAGACACACACACACACAGACACACTCTTGCTGCAGTCGCTTCTCTTTGATTTGTCCCCACCTCAAATCTGTCTATTCATAAATCTTAAAATGGCCTCTCAAAGGGGCATTTAATCAAACAGGACAGGTCTTTTTCAATGTGGGCTCAGCTTGCTAAAATAACACACGGCCCCCAGTTGAAAGTGATCCTGGTTTAGGGTAATGTCCTGGAACGTCCTCTATCCGGTTAACTGGAGATTGGACTGCTCTAATCGAACTGTCGCTCGGCTATATTTCAGCATGTCTGATAAATGTGTATGAAAGGTGATTAATGCTTCGGTACTAATGACATTTTTATAGAAAGCTATACTAATATATACATATATCTGTCAAGGTTAATCTCTGTGTACATAATGGTGCTGCACTGAGGGTAGACAGGGTGTGTGTGTGATATCTGCTTACTTGTGAGAATCCTGGCACTGCCACGCTGTATGGTCTCTGTCGGCTGTGTGCTGTGCTCTGCTGCTGGGCGAAGCGTGTGGGCATGCCATAATCAGGCGTTGGCAATGCCATCTCTCTCTCCAGAAGATTTCCTGTGCTGCTGCTCCTGTTATGCTGCAAACTGCAAACACATACACACCATTAAAGTCAACATCAAATGCCATTTGCAGCTCATTTATATTTTATAGCAGCTAGCTATGTGATGTTTTTCATGAATGGCGAAACGGCGTTTTATTGCACCGCGAATTGACCGGATCAAGAAAAGTGGGTGGTGATTGCTAGAATGGAGACAAAATGAATACTCTTTGCACAACGAATGTTTCAATTGCTAACATTATGACATTAACATTATCCAAGTGACGTCAGTGGAAAGGAAAGACATTTTAGTGGAAGACATTAATTTTCTCTTAAAGGTTACTAGGACGGTTTTTTCTTTTCAATAACATGCACCAGTGAATAAACCCAATAAGATTACAAACATGCATGAATAAAGTAAACAAGGTGACTTCTGAGTCATCATGCCAGCATTAAAGGTGCAGTAGGTCAGGGGTTCCCAAACTTTTCAGGCCACGACCCCCTAAATGACAATGCCAGTGACTTGTGACCAAAAATATCCTCTGAGGTGGTTATAAATACAGAAACCTTGCATGCAATGGCACACACACACACACACACACCAATGGACCCAAGTCTATTCTTCTTTTAATTGTTTTTTTATGTATGAAAGCTGTAAATGGGCCACAAAGTTTAACCAGGTGTTATGAAATCTGCTGCATCTGACGCTATTGCTGTGTCTTTAATACAATGCAATTACCCCACGGTTGCAATCCAATAGAAGTAGTAACTATAAGCTACTATAGTAACTATATATGGTATAAACGATTATTTTTTTCTCTTTAGAAGGTTATGTATAAAATATGGTAATTCTTATGGTTTAATAAAAAGAAATAGATTTTTGGAAACCACCAGGCGACCCCCCTTCATTGTCCCGCGACCCCTCTGGGGGTCCCGACCCCCACTTTGAGAACCATTGCAGTAGGTGATCTGCCTAAATATTATCCAGTTAGCATAAGATTTTTAAAACGCAATCCCTCCCCGGCCATCCAAAGCCACGCCTCCTGAAATCACGTGAACACACACATTAAAGATGATAGAGACCCGCTAGATTAGGTCATTCACCAGTTAGAAAACTTTATAGTACTTTATAATACTACAATTTTAAATGAAAAACTGTATTATATATGCATAATAATATTATATTATAATAATATATCTAGCACATTTTCATTTGTGTAGCAAGCTAAACTTATAAATGTCAATGTGGTATAATTCATGCATACAGGATTTCTGGTCTCACTCTCTCATGGTCTTTGCCCTAAAGTGACTACTGTAGGGTTAGGGGTTGGCCAGCGGTGTGCAGGAATTACACTTATATTTGCATGCTATTTCAGAGCGAATATACAAAGTAGCATGTTAAACAATATAGGATGCAGGTCAGGCGTTATCATTGTTCAAAAATGAACCAATGTGAAAATAAAACCAACTTCACCTCAGTAAAGCAGGCTAAGCGGAATAGCTCCATTTACTTCTGTTTTGTTGTTAAATTAAATAAAAAATAACTTAGAAAACTGAAAATAGTCACATTAATCTTTCGATGGTAGATTTTAGTGGCTGAACAACACTTCTATGCATAAAACCCATTTGTAACAAAAACAAAATCTACTAAAGCTTTGTGTGACCAAAGTTCCTTCAAGGCAAGTCATTTCACTGGGTGGCCATCTTTGAAACACCTCTCAGGCATTCTGTTTGAATGGGGAAACATCAAATTCTCCAAAACTGCTTGCCAAGCTCACAATTAAATGTCATATTAGGAATCACCAATACATTTAAACAACAACTAATTATTTTCATTTCTAAACTTCTCACACAAAATCTGCTGAAACTCATGTCTGGTCTGAGCCCCTACACATGCAAATGGCAGATCTGAGTGATGTACAAATCTCCGTATGTTGTTTGGGCTGCTTATTAGAATTATGGAAATTTTCTGCCTGACATTTTTAATTGAATTAACATTTTTTTTGTTTTAGTTTTAGTTATGCCTTACTAGAATATAAAATTACTTTTATAAATACATTTAGATCATTTATGTTAATCGTTACTATTGGAATGTGAAGAGACTTTCAACCAGCACAACAACAAATGTTTCTGAAGACTATCACCTACTGCACCTTTAATGTCTTTAATGCACATGCATGTCTTTCTCAGTGGCATGATTAAAGGTGTTTTTCTGCTGATGAATGCAGTTCAGTAATTGCGTGGTGCCAGCGCAGCAACAAATGCCATTTAAACATTGAAAGGGCTTTTGTAAACTTATTAATATTCAGACAGACTCACCTGACGTGGAGTTTATTACTGTCCGGTTCTGCAATCAAGCGCGTGTAGGAGAACGGGAACCAGCCTCTCCTGTTAATATTAAATTTGAAGCAGATTCTCAGATTTTCATTATCGAAAATAATCCTATGCATGTGCAGATTTTGAACCACAGGATGCTTACATTCTGTTCTTCTCATTTTCACCGTAGTGCCAGCCGTCTCTGGCTTCAGGCACCAGCAGTGTGATGATGTCTCCTTCTGTAAAGCTGAGGAGTGTGCTGTTGTCCCCTGCGGCGTGGGAGAAGAGGGCCTGAACACGCGTCCGTCCATTTCTCTCCAATCCAGTGGTCATCGAGCTTGACCTGGGCAGCGTCTGTGTCTCCGCTGGGGTCAGAGGTTAGACATGCATATTTAGTGATTGAGGGCTTATAAATCAATGCGTATATCAGGTGTATATTAAAAAGTACCATTTGTATTTATGTGTTTAAAACGAAACAAAATGAGACAATAACATTTTTGGTGCATGTGAGGCTGCTTTCACGTCTGTGGTTCGGTTCACTTAATCTGGACCAAGGACAACAAATAATACATTGTAGCGTTTTTCTGTCGTTTTTGGGTTCTTTTCACACCACACTGATTGCTTTGGTCCAAACCAGTTGAAAGAACCAAAATGTAGTCAAAATCCACATCACTCATTGGCCAGATGTTATTGAACGTATTTCCTAAACTGCTTTTCGATTGTTCAGAATTAACGTGCAGGAAAATGCCAGCGAAACTCCCGCAAGTAAACAAACCAGCAGACACAAAATGTTGCTTTTTATTATGCAGGGACGACTGCGCTGGCTGATTGTCATAGTATACTATATAGTTTGTATACATCACTTTAGACTAACTTTACATTTCGAGAATGAAAGCGCGGCTGCGGCTGGAAAACAATGTTTTAATGCATTCCAAACAGCGAAGGCGAATCACAAGTCACCTCAGGAGGTGGCGTGAATTAATTTAGCCAAACTGTGACATGGTCATCTTCCGGAAATATTACCAACGATCCATCAGGTAATGTTTTTCCCTCTCTTTCTTTCTCTCTCTCTGTTTGAAATTGTTTGATAAAGCACTGTCAACAAATATTTTTCTTCCACATCCCATAATGCACACTGCATCGGACTACTGCAGCTAAAAGGCGCAATACTTTTTGTGGTTGGGTCTGTTATAGTTCTGATGTTCTCACCACAAACAAACTGCTACAGGGTTCATTTGAAAGCATACAGAGTGCTTTTTTGGTCCACTTTTGGTGCGCACTCGAGTATGATTGCTACATTCACACCTGCCCAAACAAACCGCAACAAGAGGGAAAATGAACTCTAGTGAAATTAAACCAAAATAAATAAGGCAGATGTAAAAACATCCTGAGAATCATTATTTGAATCGCTCCCTTAATTTGGTCACAAGATTTTATTTATTTAAGGATGCTGCCTAGGTATGCAGTAACCAATTAGAAACAGTTCGGTTGAACAAAATTAAATCTTGTACAACACTCATTAAGAAAGAGCGCTCAATTCTGCTGCTTCCTAAATCTACTTTTCTCAAAGAGAAGCTATACCCTTCACCTATTTTCTATCCATTTTTAAAGCTGTCCTCTGTATTCCCACCTGTTCTGCCCTGTTTTCATTTCCAGCAGTGTTTGCCCTGTTATTGTCCACTCACTACTTTCTCAAGGAGAGCAGCGTAAGAATAAACGCACAGGTGCAAAGACAATGACACAGCTACAGACACCAGTTCAAAATGAAGTTGTGAATTGAATAAACAGCAGTTCATGTGATGGTCTGAGACTGGAGTTCAGTGCAGTGGCAGGTGATTCACTTATTGCACTGTAACTTTAACTTACCCAGAGTGTTCTTGGGCTTTACTGGAGCAACTTTGCGGACCGGAAGGGTGTTGGAGAAGCTCTCTCCACCGTGTCTGTGGGGCTGCTGGGATTGTTTATCATGTGCGGCTCTGGTCTCCATCCAGCGTTGGTAGTCTTCTCCGACATGAACTCCAGAGCCATTCACTATGGGGACACTATCTGCTCCCATCATCCTCTGCAAAACGGACATTTTTTATGAATAATTGAAGGGGCCCTAAAAAGATCTGAGTTCAAAAATCCATTCCGCAGTGCGCATTGACAGACACAACCAGTATTATGTGAAGTTGTGCTTTTCTTGTGAGCTTTTGACATTACTTTGTGTGTATTTGACAGGTCACATGAAAGAGAATGCGGCGTGTAGTTTGAAAGCCAGCTTTCTGGGAACATGCTTTGTGTCTCAGCACTGGGAAGGCTGTATATCAGGAGTTTATACTGATAAAGATGCAGATTAAAAGATGCAGTTTTTTTTGTGTTGTCAGAATATCTGAGGTATGCAATGTAAAGGCTCTGCCCTCTTCTGGATAGGGGGGCAGGGAGCAAATTATTTGCATTTAATATATAAAAAAAATGTTTTTGCAAAAACACACAATTACTCCATGAAATGTGAAATGATATGTGAGGTATTTTGAGCTGAAACTTCACAGGCACATTCTGGTGTTTTCTGGTACATCTTTAAAATAATTGAAGACACTCTTTAAGATGCAGGGTTTCCATGTGTAATTGAATCTGTTATAGACATTTGTGAAACATCTAAACAATAACAATGGTCCAAACGTATTTCCTGTTTCCAAAAAGAGCCACATATTAATAAATAATGTTATGAGAGCTGTTTAAACAAAGTTATGATTGTTATGATTATAATTCGCCGCTTGTTACAGTTATGAAATAGTTTGATAACAAGCAGGAAATGTTCATGGGCCAGAACATGACCACATTGAAATGGTCTATAGCAATTTTATCTTTTTTTTTTTTATCTGAACAATCATTTTTAAAAGCAACATTTCTCAAAATCTGGCTTATTCAAATGTTTCTCACTATTGGAAATCCCATGCTGGCAAATCAAGGATAACAGACCAAATACAGGCTCACTATTTAAGAAATATTTACTTCCACTAGTTGGAATTGGGGATCAAGCCAAAAGAAAATTGAATGAATGAATGAATATACTTCAGCTTAGTGGTGTAACAGATTACAAATCTCACAGTTCGGATCACACTATAGTTTTCGAGTCACGGATCAAACCATTTTTCGGATCAGTAAAAATGGAAGGAGACAAATGTCATTTGCTTTCCATTTATACAATAATATTACTGCAAAAAACATTGGTTTTAACAAACAAAACTTAGAACCTGTCATTTTAATAAAAAATATATATCAAAAAAGAAGCTGCTGAAAAAAAGAAATATATTCAATACAAAAAATAATCTTTGTTACTTTTGCTGATAATGCCTAATACAGAAATCTAACATCTTGTACATAATATTAAATTAATAATTAATTAATTATTTAACAACTCGCACATAAAACTTAGTTTCAGTGTATCATCTTTAAAAACCTATTCATTGACATAATTTTGATGGTTGTTTGTTGCCATCCATTGGTTACACAATTCATTCATTAATTTTGTTGTCAGCTTTGTCCCTTTATTAATCTGGGTTTTTTACAGCGGAATGAACAGCCAACTTATCCAGCAAGTTTTTTTACGCAGCGGATGCCCTTCCAGCTGCAACCCATTTCTGGGAAACATCCACACTCATACACTACGGACAATTTAGCCTACCCAATTCACCCAATTCAAATAGCTTTGGACTGTGGGGGATACCGGAGCACCCGGAGGAAACTCACGCAAAGCAGGGAGAACATGCAAACTCCACACAGAAACGCCAAACTGAGCCGAGGATCGAACCAGCGACCCAGCGACCTTCTTGCTGTAAGGCAACAGCACTACCTACTGCGCCACTGCTTCTCCTGGTTACACAATGTAATTGCTAAAACATTCGCCAGCGTCAAGTTCCATTAAACGGTAATCTTTACCATAAACATCAGTGTTTATATCTGAAATATTACCTGTTTTCCCAATACTGCTGTGTTATTTCATTGTTTGTAATTAAGTGAAAAAGTGTAAAAACTGAATCTCTCTCAAACAAACGCAGATTTGAACGCAACGCTTTGAAGGATTAACAAACATATGTGAATCCTTATCATTTATCGCTCATGTTGCATGGGTTTGAATTGAGATCCCGATCTTTTAATGTTTAATTGCGCAGCTTTACACTGAACACATTAATTCAGGCTAAACAAACAGTGACAGAAAACACCTTTAATTAACACCCTAAGAAAACATTTAGGTCCCACCACAACGATTTCAGTCATCATTATATTTTACAATGAAGCCAAAATGCTTTTAATACACGTCATTTGAATGACGCGGGAGGCGATCTCTTTGCAATTGTTGTAAATGTTAGATTAACCTCCAAGTTCAAAAAAAGTAATGTGCGTTTAGAACCATGGATTGTGATCCGATTGGATCACGGATCAACCGTGATTCATTACACCCCAACTTCAGCTATACTCCTTGCACCAGCTCTGTGATGATAATCTGTAAACTAAAGAGAAATGCAAGTGCCAGCAGGTTTCTAATTATTCCTTTCACAGCACTGTGGTCATTATGAAACTGTATTTTAATGACTTTATATCCTTCTCTCCTTCCTATGGCTGTAAATGCCTCCCTCCTACACCCCCAAACACCCTCAGGACTTAATTATACACATCATTAATGCAGCCGTTTACAAATCTTCCAGCTACAGTCGAGACAGTCAGTCATTCGGTGGCTCACAGTCATGTTTTATTTGGACCACACACAGTTTTGAACTCACCGACTGTTGGTTCCCCATGAGAGCTGCGAGCTCAGGTGGCACGGGAAGTGGCTTTGCCCCTGGGATGGGGTCTGAGATGGTCAGGTTAGATTTGGAGGTGTGATGGACACTGGGTCCCAGCGTCCCCGCTGCCCCTGAGCTCATCTGCTGAGCCAGGAGCATTGCCCGCTCAGGGAGTTTATTTGGGTCGGCACACGCTTGTTGCCACAAAGGGATCTTCTGCGTCAGCAAGTCTCTGCCCTAAAAACAAACCAACAGCACCAAAACTACTATTAGCACCAAGCAGGAGTAATGCAAGCTGTACACACCTGCAAATGCACAGTTTAGAATAGTCCATGTGGGCAAATAAGGACAACAGACTCCCAAAATAAACTTCCGCTTCTGCACAGTTGAGGTTTGAGGGTTGAGCTCTTCAACTGATGGACTGATAGGGATGTGATAAAGTGATCCCTTCTCACCTAACGCTTCTCTGATGCTCTGAGACATTTCTCTCTATCCTGACAAGCTGCCCTCCCTGTAGGTTGAAGCCTGAAATAGCCTCATTACTCTGCCCCATGCACAGGCGCTGAGTCTGGCTGACCAGAGCTGAAGAAGGACAGAGACGAGGAGTGCCTGGAGACCTCCAAATGTAGAGCGCAAGAAGAGCAGCTTTATCTTTAAACCCTTTTCAGTAATTCAGATCATCTGTTTGAGCAGTGCATGGATGCTTAGGTAAAATACAGAAGACCCGTTTTTTAGAAGGATGTGACGAGGGATAATTTACCCAAAAATTTAATTAATCATAATTTATGCACGCTTGTGTCCAGTGTTAGGGAAAACACTTTAGTATTACAGTATAACACATTATAAGCAGGTTGCGTAAAAATATAAATTTTTAAGTAACGAGTAAAGTAACACATTAATTTTAAAAATTAAGTAATAATATTTAAGTTACTTTTTGAAAAATGTAATGCGAGTTACTTTTTTTGTTTAGTTAATTCACTTTTAAAAAAACATTTCTGAATTAAAAGTTCACGTTAAATCCCGCACACAATAAGAGATTGCAGGGACAGACAGAAAGGAAGATGACAGAGCCTTACAGTTCTGTGATGTAAATATTCTCATTATTTTGAACACATTGAAGAAAAGGAAAAGAGGATTATCTGAATGGACAGTGATTTTACTTCACTAATAAGACAAAAAGTACAAAAGTAGCAAACGCATCGCAGAGATCAAGCCACAGCCAGGTCAAAAAATGTGATGCAAAAGTAACATAATGCATTACTCACCATAAAAAGAACCTAAAAAACGCAACAAATTACTTTTTTGGGAGGTAACTCAATATCTTAATGCACTACTTTCTAAAGTAACTTTCCCCAACACTGCTCGTGTCATTCATGTCAGTATCTACAATAAAAACACCAAGCTCTTTTTAATGATCACAGATAAATAGTTATAGTGAATCTAGATTTGGCCTTATTTAACGTGTACATTTAAATAGATATTTCTGATACAAATTGTGCTTAAATAATAATTTAATATATTATTTTTTTGTAGAATCTTTACCGAGACGGAGAAAGAAAAACCTAAGAATGTTACTAAATATTTTAAAAATGCAATGATCTTGGCTGAAAATCTTAACTCTCATTCGCATTCACATTCAAATACAAATATTTTTCTAGATTTCGGTTGTATGTGTGTGGTCATTTGAAAATGCAAAAAGGAATTTGAGAATTGCACAGATATTGTATTAGTATTTTCTGCTTTACAGAAACAACAGAATTTGGTCTTGGAATATAGTTTAAAGATTGTTCGCCCCAAAAATAATTCTGTCATCGTTTACTCAACATTTACTTGTTTCAAAGCCTTATGAGTTTCTTTCTTCTGTCAAACAGAAAATATGAGATTTTGAAGAAAGCTGGAAACCTGTAACCACTGACTTTTATAGCATTTGTATTTTTTTTCCACTATGGAAGTCAATTGTTACAGGTTTTCAGCTTTCTTCAAAAATATTTTCTTTTGTGTTCAACAGATAAAGGAAACTCCTAAAGATTTCTAACCACTTGTGGTTGAGTAAATAGCAACTGTATCCCTTTAACTGTACTTGTGGTTTTGGGTGCACTGTTAATTTAACATACAGAAAGTATGATTAATGCACTAAACATTAAACCAAATATCTCGATCTTAAATGCATACTTCTATGAATCGTGATTTTCACAAGTCAAGACCTTTCATCTAATCTTTGTTCTCAATTCTCCTTCGCTCTGAACTCATAATAACTCTGCAGTCTCTATTTGGCCGGCGCAGGTCAGTACCATTTTTGCTAAGCCCCCGTGGTCCTTTTCTAAGTCACGACCACATACCACCCCACCCAAAGCAATTATCACCGTCCTGCCTGCCCGAGCACCTGCAGACTCTGTCACGACCTCACTGGGTTCATAAAATCTCAAACGATAGCACCATTTTTACTGTGTTCAAAACAATTGGCAGAACTTAGTCACCATAAAACCAAAACTAAAGATCCTATTTTTTTATAGGAAATTGCAGGGGCTTTTTTCTCTTTTAAGGTTCCTTTCCCTCCAACAGCCTGCCATTCACAGAAGTTAGCAAATGACAGAGATACAACCAATTCCCTATAAAGTCCCAGTGTGCATTTCTTTTTCTTGTTATAGGAAAAGGTTTAACATGCGTATGTGTCACAATAGGAAAGAACCATAGAGAGCAATTTCTGTCTCCACTTTAAAAGGTATGACAGATTTTGTGAACAGTCACAGCTCATTAAACTATTGCTGAAGAAGATGTTGACATATTAACATGGTTTTAAACGGATTGTTCACCAAGAACATTGATGTTCTGTCATAATTATTCACATTAACTCACTCTCATGCCGTTCCAAACTTCCATGACTGACTTTTTAGGTGAAACACAAACACTGATTGATATTGCTGAAGTCCTGAACTATTATTTCCTAAAGGTCTAGCTCAGCGTTGTAGCTCTTAAATCCTTTTTATTTAAAAAAAAACAAACACTTCAAGACATGTTGTGCCAGTTTTAAAAGACCTGTTTCCACCTTGTATTAGCATAGAGATTAATTGTAACACTGGATTAAAAGTTTAGTTGACATGTATTGAAATTTCCACTTAACAGCATGCATTAAAATACATCTCTTGTATCTTGGGTTACTATATTATCAAGATCCTTCAATGCTAAAACTGAAGAAGCCAATGAGATACGAGAGCTTTAGATATAATACACCAAAAACATTTTCACTTCTGGCTTCTTCCTCATCCAAAAGTATTGTAAGATCATGTAAAATGTGAAGTACATGGTACCAAAAGGTAAATATTCTGCCAAATGTGATCTCACCTTATGTTCTTTGGTAAATTTAAGCAATCATACAAGTTTGGAAGGACTTATGCCAATGTGCATTTAGTTTTTGGGTGAACTTTGGTTTTTGGCCTAAACATATTGGCTAAAACTCAGAGGTAACTAGCATGTTGCCATTTTGAATTACTCAAAAAGTTGCTCCATGAGGACGGATCTTGCAGTAAATATATATTTTAAATAACTTTTTAGATAAAAGAAGTGAATTTGGAGAACACAGCTGTGTCCAAAATTGCATAGTACGTACTTATTTTGGGGAGCAAATGTTATAGTTACTACTTTTACAATGTTGTTATGCTGGTATTTTTTAAATTCAGACATCAGACTCTCACCAACCTGATTTCACCAAGTAGGTCATGTTGCTTTATTAACATCTATGTTGATACTGGAACAACGTTCCAATTAGCCAATCAGAATTAAGGAATGGGTTTACCGTTTGTATTAAGTTTAGGCTTACGGTTGTGTTTTTATGCACTTCTACATGATTGATATCCAACAATTCCTCTGATTTTGAGAATCATTTACAGTTTTGGATGGATTTAGGGTTCAGACCTTTGTTACATGCTGTACGAAATTTGCATGTTTAGATGCAGCCCATTAGTTCCTCTGATAGCCTTTAAATGTATATATTTTTATTTGGATGATTTGGAGGACTCTTGGTTTGTGGTAAAATCTCTTAGTCATCTGAGTGCGAGAGAGTCTTTATACTCTCTTTGTTCCTTCTGCTCTCGGTTGCAGTCGAGTGAGTAAGTATCAAGTACCATTGCTATTGCATGACTGGCGTGGGTGAGAGCGTTAAGATCCAGCAATGACAAACTCTGGCAGATGGTCAGTTTAGTTCACGTCACTTTTGTTCTTCCTGCTCTCATAAAAGTAGGTGAGATATGGCTAGTATTACGAAGAAGAGAATTTCACCCAATGAAAATCACCTCTTTGTCTTTGTCTCTAATGTTTCTTCATTTGCATGCAGAGAAATGTCTTCCTACACATACATGAAAACGGTGATTATCTTCTGAACAGTCTGTTCTTGTAAAAGTGGGCCACTCTCTGCCTGGCCCTCCCTTTCTCTTTTCCTTCTCTTGCCATCGTTGCTCCCAGCGCTCTGTCTATCACCAACTCTGAAGCGTAGGCGTCATGGAGGAGTCAGTGCTTACGTGGGAATGACTGGTGTTCTGCGTGCTGGTGAATCCACCAGATATCACAGAATCTCTGGTGTATTTTTGATCAATGTGTCCTAAAATGAATAATCATCCTTTGCTGCGTAATGGTGAATAATCCACCGTTTTCACCACTTAAATCTCCTTGATAACTGATAAGCAATCAAAAGTACATTAATCTTGATTAGATATGTTACTTAACTGTTAAAAGAAAACTGCAATTAGAACATTAATGAATCACACTTACAACTCAAGTTCATTTCAATCAAGCCAAACCAGAAAAGTGTGAACACACCAAGACTCTTTCCCAAAATATAAAGCACATTCTCTAGCAAGCATGGTGGAATGATCAGCACTGAAATGATATGAATGACTGAATAATGAGATTTGGGGGCAGAAACAACTGAACACAAAGTGTAAAGTTGTCCAACTACATCATGTACTTGGCAAAATGGATACTTATAATATATGATTTGCTTTATATGAATGAAAGGCAACATGACATCTTATATACCTTCTTTAATGTGTTGGTTTTGTCTTATAGTGAGTTTTATCGTGTTAGTAATTTTTGTTAATGCAACGAATGCCATTTTGACAAAAAAACTGATCAAACGATCCAACCAAATATCTAAAGTCAGATTAGCCTCACTGATTATTTAGCTTCACTTCAAAATGTCTTGTAAATGGCATTTCATGTTGTCTTTAACACTTTTAAATGAGCACATAAGTTCTATAAGTCATGCTTAACCCAATTTGTGTCTAACTGAAGTGAATTTCAGTGTTTCTGCGACCCAAATTTTCTTCAGCATGACGTGACATTCTCACCTTGGTGTGGTAGGTGTTGCTGGTTTTGGCCACTGCGCACTGACGGTCAACAAGAAAGCAGTACCTCCGTCTCTCTTCAGATAGGGCATTCTTGTAGCTCTCGGAGATGTAGTTATCCAGCTCATTTTGTTTGCTGCTGATGGTCTCGACATACTGAAGGACAGGAAGGTGGTGTGAAGCAGACATAAAAAAAAATGGCAAACAACGCCCCATTTGGGCTCTGCCTGATGTAATGAAGGCCATGCTAAGACAAACCACACATTTAAAATGACGACCATGTAGGCTTGCTGTTACTCTCATTGTATGATGGCAAATGGGAATGCTAAAGCTCAATGATCCATAGCACGCAAAAGCTGATGAGGGCTGAATGTAGCCGGATTATTTGGTTTGATCAGATTCCATGTAACACAGATCGCCCTGCTCGTTGCTTTGCTTTGTATTGCAAAATAAAATAAATATAAAAAGTGTTAATTTTATACAAATAAAATGAATAATCAGCACAAGTATAGTGTATAACAACATAAAAATAACCAAAGCTGCTGCTACGCTAGAGATCACACCATAGCCAAAACATCATCTAACAAGGAGATACACCTTGCAGGAACTGGATGTGATCCAACCACACGCGCACACATACACACACACACACACACACACAAATAACACCCTTCATAAGGTTACTCAACCTGCATTGCTGATTCCTTCCCACTAAGTGTTGATGAACAATGCTGGAATCACTGTTTGTGAATCTATTATTAGTCTCAAGTTAAAAAGGTCATTGTTTTGTGTGAAAACATGTCACAGGTGATGCATGCATTTGTTCCCTATATTCACTAAGTCTCTCAGTATTTGATGTGTCATGAGTTTAGTCACTGGATTGAGCAAAGCAATCATCCTCATCCAGTGCATTGGTACACAATACTATCACCAAACACTACATTTTAAGACTAAGTGAGCTTCAACTTCACATTAACTTTTGCGTTAAACTCAGATGGATAACAGTTAGAGGTGAAAGAGAACAGCAGGAAGCACTAAAACACCCTAGGCTTAATCAAGGAACAGATGTTGTTGTGTCAAATATAAAAGCATGTTCTGAGTTGTCAAGCAAGTTTGGATGTTATCAGCCTGTAGGTAAAACACTATTGCGAATGGGAGTTTGGTGGTCACAGGTAGCATGATCAGCAAACAAAAATGCTGAATATTTCTGCACATCAACACAAACACTTGTTCACATCACTTCTCAAGCTTGAAAGGCTTGCTTTGACGTTTAACTTTATTGGGAATTAATAAGTGAAATGTTGTAGGTCACAGAAATGAAGACACTGACTGAAAGCATGTTACACTTCTTCACTTCAGGTCTTTTAAGTTACCTTTTTCTAATTGTACAAGATGATATAAAACACAATTTAATAGGTGAACCACTTACTTTATGGTTTATTGACTAAAACATTTGTTAAATCTGACAAATAATTACCTGCAAAACAATGTTAATTTTAATAGAATTAATTACATTTCAAGAGTTCACACTTAGCTGATGATTTATAAAAGCTTGTTTGGCATGCTGTCCCGGGAGAGAGCCCCGAGCTCAAGGAATCCTCGAGTCCGGGGCTTCCTCCCGTTTGGCAGAGCGAGAGGGGAGCCCGAGCTTGGTGGATCTCAGAACTCCCCCGCTGCTTTAGCTAAGGGAACACAAGGGTTAGATAAATGCTTGGTTTTTATGTATATTGAATGTCTTTGGATGGTGGGAGGAAACCGGAGCACCCGGGGAAAACCCACGCGGACACGGGGAGAACATACAAACTCCTCACAGAAACATCCACCGGTCCTAGGGGGCCAGGGCCGGCGGTGTTCTTGCTGTGGGGCTCGCAGTGCTAACCACTGGGCCACTGTGTCGCCCAGTCAGAGGTAAAGGAGAAGGAAAAGGGGAGGAGGGGGGTTTCTTCCAAACGAAAATAAAGTGAATTGAAAACTGTGGTTATTTAGTAGCTTAGGTCTCGAATGATTGGAAGATACTGATTAGCAAATTCGAGACCAGCCGTGATAAATCATAAGCACGTGATCCTCTCGAAATTAGTTTATGAATAAACTTCACTTTAAATGTATTAAATATTAAAATACATTTGTTATAACATCTTACTATTCCCAATGGAATTTGTAAGCGATTAAGCAAGCTGTGATCAGTAGAAATGTTCTGATCCCGATACTTGAACATGATGTCATATCCTGCCTTTGCATGTAGACTGCTTGTGCTTTTGTGCTAATGGATCAGACATGACTGTGTCTTTTTCACTTGTTAATGACAGCACTACAGTGCGGGATGTTCTTTTTTATTTAATGACCCATACACAAGACCTCTTTTCTTCTTTTATTCAATTTTCTTTCAGTGTCTGAGTCATGAAGATTAAATCTACATGTACAGTTCATGTACAATCCACGCACTATGGCTGAACCCTGAGGTCCATCGAGTGCACTTACACAACTGTCCATGTAGCAACAACTCTCCAGAGATAAGTGCAAAAATGTATCATTATATTGTCAGGCAAAACTTAAACGTATATGCATTTGTGTTCAAAACTGCCCATAAACAGTCTGAATATACACTCTCTTAAAAGTAATGGTTTCTGTAGTGATGGCAATCATGAACTGTTTTGGTTCCTAATGACCAGTTTAGTTTTTAACTATTTTTCTCTAAGTGTAAAGATTATTTAAATCATTTAGAGCAGCGTTTTCAACTGTAAAGAACATTCTATGGAATAAAAAGTTTCTATGGATGGTAAAGAGCCCCTACATTATTATCTGTTCTTGAAAATTGCCTTTCATGCAGTGTGTAACACAGCAATAAGTAAAAACATCCAGCTGAGGTTTAAATCTGAAAGTGTTTAAAAAATCAACTTTTTTAAAACAAAAAATTCGCCCCAGAGTCGTTTAAATGAGTCGTCGTTCATACGGATCTTTTGCCTGTTTGTATCAATGTCAACACAAAACAATGAAGTGCCGGATTTGGTAAAACGTGAACGCACCTTTCCCTTCAAACGCTAGCAGAGTGTGTGTGGGACTCATCATGACTGAATATATAAGCGTTCTAGTGATTAATGCAGAAATTTACCCTGCAACTGGGGATTCTTCAGCTGAGAAGGATCAGAAAAGACTATTGCATTATGGGACTTTTTCAGAGCTTGAAAGAAACTTTATCAGTACAGAGTTCATGGATCAGTTTCTTCCTCCATTTCACAATTATTTGTTTTCTCTAGCTCGCAAAATACGTATTTAATTGTTACTTGTAATCGCTCCATGCGACCTCTATATTCACATATTGCCTCTAAAACCATGCATGAAACTTTCTTTACGAATTCAAACACGTTTGTGAGCTCGCGATCCTCTGCCATTTGTAGTTGGTTTGGCCACCGTCAGCTGTTTCTATACTCGTTGGGCGGTCAAGTTTCTGAATTAGCTACTGAATTAATACTAATTGTGTGTCATTCTTATTACTTATGATTAAGAATAAAGCAATATGCTGGTGTTTAACTTCATTGCTTTAATGCACTCCTTCATTCAGTCGACCAATCGCAATAGACTGAGTCATCAGAACAATCAGTGCAGATTAGCATCATGCTAAGAAGGGGCTTGGGAACAAATGAATCACTAGACAAATCATACGGGAGTCATTGGATAATTTGGTAAAAATAAATGCAGATTATAAGACAATGAAAGTGTTTTTTTGACCTTGTATGCATATCAGCATGTTGTTAGAGACCCCCAAAACCAAATTATGACCGTTTTAATGCATAATAGGGGCTCTTTGAAGGTTATATGTGGAACCATCAATGCCAACCAAGAACATTTATTTTTAAGAGTGAACAAGGGTTTCAAATGCTGACAGAAATTCACTCTAATTTACAGAGCAATGTATGAAACCCAGTGTTTTATCTGTCAGCTTTGATGGATGCAATACAGCATGAAGTAATAGAGGTTCACCTATAATTTATTTGAACTATATTTGCACGATCAGACATGTAAAAAAAATCAACATCTATATTTACAGTACAATCGCACAGTGGTCCAGGTCACAGACTGCACGATTAGCACTGACGTTAAATACCTCTTACGAAGTCGCTGACATAATCATAGTCGATTATAGCCACTCATTAAATATCTGTCATGTTAAAATCACAGCGCGCACACTAGAGTTGGTAAACGGCTAGTTAACTACTGCAGCATGTCATAGTTTGACTCGGATCAAAAGTCTGATTCATTTGAGAATTTCTGCACTACATGCATTTAGTTTAGTACCCAAGGGGAATACAGATGTAGACACACATACACAGGCAAAATGATAAAATGTGGGTCTATATCCTACACTACTGCAGGCTGAAATCATAAATGACATTCCAGCTCAAATCAATCTGCCTGCCCTCCGCATGGCCTCATTTCAACACATGCTGAATATGAATGCAGGATACGATTGCAGGGCAACATCATTTCTCTGCATTATGATTCCTCAAGGAAATAAAGACACAAATGAGTGCATTAGATTGGTCATGGTATTAATACTGGAACCGTTTCTGTGGGGAGAGGCCTGTGTTTCTCTCTAGCAAGCAGAGGGAACTGGAAAAGCAGTGTTTCTTAAACAAACTATGCTATTGTGTTTAACATTCTCCATTTTGATTCTCAAAAAACATTTTCCCCTTCATTTTTTTAGTTTGCATTGTTTTCCTATAAAAATTAGATATTACTTGTCAAATTAATTGAAATCATGAAAGTAGATATAACAAATGTAGATAAAATTATCCAGAGGTCAGTCCCAGAACATGGAATTGCACAGAAAAAGCTCAAATATATCAAATATTTTAGATAGAACTGTTGGAACTTGTGTTTGAGTAAATGAAACTGCACTATTTATTCAAGCACAACTTTTTCATAGACTTTTTTATGAATTAATATTCACAGACACCATATCTGATCAGGTGTACAGTAGTGCTTTTTATGATAAATTTGCTAAACTATGACGTTTTCCATTATTACTGTTTTTGTTTTTCTTTTTTTTGTGAACATTTTTTTAATGACTGGATTCTACAATTAACTAGCAATGGGAAGATATGTTATATATATATATATATATATATATATATATTATTGTGTGGATTGTCTGGTAA